AATGCAAGATGTTTTTATTCTGTTGACCCATGTTCCCTATTTAAATTCTGTTGTACAGGCCAAAATTGTGTAACATTATAAATCTTTAAATCAGTTTGAAACTTGTTTAAAAACGGTTGCAACTCAATGCCGTGCGGGTTTTAAAAAATATTGAGAAAGTATTAAAAAAGGTATTAAAAAGTGTTCAATTTAACCTCTGGATTTCTGTATATACCCTGTATTAGTAGTCTTCCTTTCCACTAGGTGGCAGCCTCTTTGAACTTTTAACCCTTTGTTGGTATGTGTGAATATAAGGACAAATAAAAAAAGCTCTAGACTGAATGATAAGCAAATTTCCCATCCTCCTTGTAACTGTGGACTGGCAAAGAGGAATGCTTTGCTGATCAATATCTCAGCAGCCGACTGCTCCGTCAGCTAATGGAGGACGGGGAGGGGGTTTGGAGGAGGGAGGTTAATACCGTCTCGTCGGCCAGTTTCTCCAGCTGCTGGATGTATGGAGTGATGAGGGAGTGCAGGTTCCTCAGGATCTCCTCCACAGGCAGCGCGGACAGCAGGAAACCCAGGGCCTGCATCAGCCACATGCACTGGCTGGTCTGAACCCAGAAAGGAAATGACATGGTGAGTGAGCAGGAAGACTCCTCGGGAACAAAGGGCGGTCTGTACATGCGGGGGCAGACTGATTATCCACCACGACACTCACACCCACACACAGAACAGCCTGACACATTAATCAGTATAGACAGAGTCTGTCTGGTTGGATTTTTTTAGCAGTATGCAGGTAACAGATTAGGCACTGACCACACTGTAGTCATGATCTGGCCCCAGTAGGAAACCGACGAGACAAGAACAAAGAGAGCTACAATAAAAATAAAAGGTGCCACGACTGGTTGTTTATAGCAGGGAACAGGACGACACCCAGAGACGACTGAATCATCACTGACCTTGTGAATTTGCTTTATCAGAACTTCCTGTGGAGACAGAACAGTAATTGTCAGGAGAATCGGTCGTCCAAGTAAAATTTAAAGCACCAGCCTACAGAGGACTGACAGAAGTTTCTTTGGCAGGATACACTGCAAAGATGAAAAACTGGTATTCCACATTAATCATAGTTGGATAAGGATCTATACTGGAGAGATCCCCAGTGTAATGGAGGGTCTATCAGAATGGTCTCCAGTCTAATGTTGGGTCTTTACTGCAGTGATCCCCAAATATAAAGGGGGGGTCTATACTGGAAAGTCCCCCATTGTAAAGGGGGGGTCTATACTGGAAAGTCCCCCATTGTAAAGGGGGGTCTATACCAGATTGACCCCCGGTGTTAAGGGGGGTCTATACCAAGGAGATCTCCAGTGTAATGGGGGGTCCATGTTGGAGTGGTACAGAGTGTAAAGGGGGTCTATACTGGAGAGGTCCCTAGTCTAATGTTGGGTCTTTACTGCAGTGGTCCCCACAGTAAAGGGGGGGGTCTATACCAGAGTGACCCCAGTGTGATGGGGCATCTATATTGAAGTGGTAACAGACCTGGGAGACGGCGACTATGTTGGTGGCGTAGGGTGGCAGGTCGTATTTGCACTCGCGGCAGATCTTCTTCAGCGTGGACACGCTGGAGACGGAGAGGTCGGGGTTCCCCAGGGCTTGCAGCACCAGCGGGAGGACACTGCTGAGCATGACGGGATGGTCAGCCAGCCACTCTGCCAGGGCGCCTGCAGTGAAGGGTGGTCACACCACGTCCAGGAGAACAACAGACATTACAGTCTGCACATCCATGAGCAGAGAAAGAGGAAGGAAGGAGGGCGGAGAGAAAAGAGGGAGCAGAGGGAAGAGAGTCGTACCTATGGTGAACATGACGGTATCTGCCAGCTGGACATTGTTGATGTTGATGCGAGGAATGAGGCCGATGAGGCCGGGAATGACGTCGGAGTAGTTCACGTCTATCGTCTCGGCGATGGACTGGAATCCGTACAGCAGCGCTTCCGTGTGCTGAGGGGGACGAGCAGCCGTGGTCAGGCTACTTCACTGAGGGTCTCACGCGAGTCAGACAGGCGGCCGCCGTCACTGAGCTTGGGTTTGAGCCTGGAAGGCGACGGACTGACCTGCCAGGACGAGGGCTGCTCGCTCGCGGTCAGCAGCCTGCCCAGCTTGTCGTAGAGGTTACTGAGCAGCTCGGCTCCCAGCATCTCGTACACGTACATCAGGGTGTCCGAGATGTCCACCCTGCAGGAGACCTGAACATCAAAGCCCGTTCCTCATGACCACCCCCTGACCATCCTCCCTCGGGGATGCAGATGGAGATAATGAGGTATGAGTCACGCCAGCGTCTTGTGGCTGTTCTGTGGCCATGACCGGCTGCCAACTTCCCCAAAGTGCCCGATGAACCACACATCAAACCGACCTCCTGGGGGTGCCACCCCGCCCACCTCCCACTAACCTGTAGATCCTGAACTGCTCCTTCTCGTCCGACGACCAGGAGGCGTACTCCTCATCGGTGGGGAACTGGGCCTTGTGCAGCAAGACGTCGACCAGCTGGAAGTACACAGGGCGGTACACCTGCAGGTAGACCGCCTGCTTCTCTGCCTCAAAGGACATGATGTCATCCTGAAACGAGCAGCAAGGACCGGTCAAAGACGAGGGAGACCGAAAAAACCAGGGGCCCCGTTTTGCCTGCATCCGGGATCCTACACAATGTTTAACATAAACAGCCAACAGTGGCCTTAAATGTAAAATAAAAGGATCTCTTCAGAAAACTGCCAGGGATTCAAAGAATGGACCAGGACTCTTATGCAAGGTGACATTTATGAGGAGAACTGTAACAATGCACAAACATCACGATGGTCAACCAAGGAAGATGAGCACTATATAGTGAATATAAAACCAAACTAGACAAATAATAAGAATAAGACATAAACGAGACTAACTAAATTGAATTAATTAGCTACTGAATAATAATAATAATAATAATAATAATAATAATAATAATGTTATTATTCAAGTAATAACATTCAAATATGCATTATTACAGGAATATTAGCATTTTTTTGAATCCCCTTTTTAGTAAGTTTTTTTTTTTTTTTCCATATTTTATATATTAGACTTTATTCAGACCGTGGTTCTGGTTCACATCTCCACCCCTAAGAGTGTTGCGCCTTTAGCAGACGCCAAGTTCTCTTGTTCGTTACCCATGGTGCCATGTCATTTTTATTGCTCAAAGTAACAGAAACAACACAAAACGGTCTCAGCTTCCTAGAATATCAGTATCCAACACAGGCTGGGGACGCAAGACACCATGATTATTATGAGCACATTCAGGCCGCCTGCTCAGACATGTACTGATCACACACTGGATGGATCCTGCTGGCACCACAACTCTGATTGGCCACTGGATGCATCTGTGGTCACAGCAATACAGACATTCTCTGGGTATTCTGGCTCAACAGGAAGCTAACGATTACATTGGTAATGAATACCTTTAGCAAAGAAACTCCCATCTCCATGAATGATGCTGCAGGTTAGCACTGTATCTGTCCTGCAAATAAATCAGTCACCCTTATATTCTCTGCTCCAGCAAAGCAGATCTGTTTAACTGGCTGGTTAATCTTCATGCCTGCATGGTCTGTTAGCGAAATCAAAAATGTAAGCGCGAGGGAACAGTCCCTTTTAAAGGGAATCATCATCAACCCTTTCCATGATACATTCGCTGTCCGTATAACCATATTTTCACCATCCACACATGTCTGGCAGGGAAATGATGGAAATTGAAATGAATATTTAATAAACAATAAATAATTGAACTAAATGCTGTTCTGGCTCGACACTTGCATGTCGAGCCAGAACTTAAGGGTCTGCCTCCCATTAAAAGAAGGTCCTCATGTGTAACGGCACAAGCGGATCCATTAGTTTCTTAAAACGGCAACATCTCAACGCACATAGCTGGGAGGGGGACCGCAGAGATCCTGCCTGTTATACAGTGACAACCAGCAGGGTATGAAGCTTTCAGATATCCATCCATGCATCCATCCATCGACACACTCACACAGTCAATCATATTTAATGGGTGACTCAGACGTGCTAATTAGCTGACCGGAGAACCCAGAGGACACCACAGAACTCAGAGGACACCACAGAACCCAGAGGACACCACAGAACCCAGAGGACACCACAGAACCCAGAGGAAAGCTCTGCAGAACATGCAGACTCACAGAGGGGTGGGATACGAATCTCAGAAGAGTGAGGCAACAGCACTGCCACAGAGGCCTCAGCTGTGCCCCACCTTCCGTACAGTTTATCCTACGCTGGGCTTCAGCTGGATAAGCTGCAAATGCTTTCCTGGAGGAGCTGAGTTTGCAAAATCACTGGGATGCAATATCAAAACTCCCATAAGACTCTGTCCATCATTTTCATCTATCGGGGGGCACCGCCCCCGGGGACCTCTCTGCCCCCTCCCCTGCTCTATTAGCTACACTCCCCTAGTCCTGGCACTCATGCGTATGCTGCTCAAAGGCCTTCCTCTCTACTAAAGAGCGTTTAAACCCCCAGACAGACGCGACCTGCCCGCTGCAGTGGAGGGGGTCCGGTGTCGCTTATGGCGGCGGTATCGCTTGCAGCGGGCACGCTCTGTAGTGCCACGCGGTCAGCTGGCAGCGGACACAGTCCGGCTGACTCAGGTGGTGCTCAGAGGCCGTATCGATTTTGGGGGGGGGGGGGGGTTTGGGGATCTCTGTGAAGCTCTCTAAAGTCCGCAGAGAGGCTGCAAGGGCGGAACATGCTGTAAAATGTACATTTATCTGCTTTAATCACCTCGGTTTAATTAAGGCTCGATCCTGAAATCCAGAGGAAGGGATTTTCTTTACTGAGGATATAGTAGATGATGTTTGAAGTGCATGACATTTAGATACCAAATGTCCAGCGAGTCGCGTAATGAATTAAACCTCACCAAGTGTTGACAGTGTTCTTATATGTGCACTTTTTATATAAGCTGCATGCAAAAAACATTCAAATATTACCTGGCCTAATATTACTATATTACTTAATATACTACTCACATCCAAGCATGGCCAGACACATGAACTACGTATGAGATTATGTTATATCACTTATATTAAATAAATTAAATTAATAAAATTAAATACATAAACTAGAAGACCAGGAGATCACATGCATTTTAGTATAATTATATTAAATTGTTTTCATTTAACTGTCTAGTACTCCATAATAGTCTCATTCGCCCCCCCCCAAACCAGTTGAGGAGACCCCCTACCTGTAAGGTGTACCAGAAGGTCAGGGTGAGGGAGCTGGTCGTTTCGTTGACGGGGTAGTGTCCCGGGATCCCGGTGCAGAACATGATCATGTTGACCAGCGCTAAGAATCCCTGCCAGTGCTCCACCTGGTCCAAGAGAGCCCTGCAGAACACAGGCGGTCAACTGGGCCCAGACGAAGAGCACAGTCTGCAAAACCAGGCTGAACATACGCAGCGACAGAGGCACGCTGAAGGACAGGCGTGTGTCTTGGTGCTTTCTGTAGTACCAGAGCACTTAAAACAGCCAGCTCCATTAATGCCTAGCACACAGTCACCCTCTAACTGTGGTAATCATTGTGGGTAAGTGCCGCACTACATTTCCCAGCATGCATCTGGGCAGGCAGGGGCTCCCACCTGGAGTGGTTCTCTCCGAGCGCCACGGCGATGCGGCAGATCCCATGCGACGTCTCCATGTCGCCGGCCTGGACTGCGGCCCTCAGCTGCTCCTGCAGCTGCAATACCTGCGGCACCAGCTTCAGTAGTGTGTTCACGTACCTGTGGGGGCCACGGTAACTGGAGTTAAATCCTCTACTCACGCCACAACATTCTCTTACATCCACCTGCTGAGCCCTTTACCCACACCAAAGCCCACCTCCCTTCTCTCTCTCTTCTCAGCCTCCATCTCTGGGGTCTCCATCTCGGCCAGCTTCCCCCAGCTGGCTCTTTGGCCCCGATCCAAACTGCCCACTGGCCTCCCACCAGAAGGGGCCGCTATACCTGCCAGAGGGGAACTGGCTCCCCACTGATGCTGTTACACTTTCAACAAAAGCCCTGGTAAATAACAGCACTTGAGTAAACAGTTTTTGTTTTTGGAAAAACATGGGAACGGAAGACTGTCTATATCCTCTGCCGTCATGTCTAATCAAGTGCTGAAGTATCTAACAAAATTATCCATTGAGCAACGAAGTGGAAGCAACTGCTAATGTCACCATTAGAACAAAACATCTACACAGCCGACAGCTGAGTTTGCATGTGTAACTGATCCTGTCTTTCTGCATCGATTTCCCCTTGAAAGATAAGTCTCTCAGGCAAAGAGGAATGTTCAAATCATTCCATAAAAGCTTAAATGATGATACACCGCTTGAGATGTCCATGTATTATGCAGGAACTTCTAATAAGCAGAAACTGAAGCAGCGGTCTACTTGACACAACAAGGTCATCTTTTTAAATAATACAAGGTTATCTTTTGGAGTATAACTGGTTTTATCATGCATAACATAGCTGGAAAAAAAAACAACATCAAGGATCTGTTGACAGTCTACTGTCTGTCCTGCTATCAAAATGTCAGAGTCCTTCCGCTCATAAGTGGATGACCTGCATCGACAGAGATCGCTGTTAAAAATGAATGAGCTTTTCAGCACTGGGGCCGGAGAAATGTTCACTCAGGCAGGACCGAGACGACACCACAGAGGAAGGCCCAGCGGGCAATGAGACGGACGGCTAATTAGCACTAGCTGAAGGGCGGGGCGTGTGGCAGGACCTCTGGCGGGCGCGCGTGTTTACAAGACACCAGGTATTTTCCAGATTCGTTTAAAAACAGCTGGCTCCCCCTCCCCCCAACACCCCTCCCCCAATGCTGCAATTACACCTAAACGCTGGGAGACGTGGGGAAATGGGTTGCTAAGCAACAAAATGCAACTGGTCCAATAGCACTCTAGGAAAAGCTATGACTGTGATGCATTTAATCAGCATGACGGAGGGCTGGGATGTGAGAGGAGCTTAACATGGAAGAACGTGGAGGCAAGAGTAGGGTAGCGAGTTGCTCTAAGCCCCGCCTACACAGAGCACCCATCAGGGGAAGTGATAACCTGTCCCCCAGCTGCATGGTCAGTCCCAAAGCCAACGGGCTGCTCGCTTAGCGACCGCACTGAAGTGTGCCGTCAGGAAGCATTGCTGTCGTCACCATGCTCGCCCTTCCCGTCGCCCTGGCAACCTTGCGTTTGGCAGTAACCTTGGAAACCGGGGGACAGAATGACAGAAGGCTGCAAATTCCTCACGTGCTTATTGCCCCCCGCCAAATGAGAGGGATCACCCCCTGCTAGCAGAAGCCTGCTCCCTGAAGCGTGATGGCACCACGCAGCTCTGACTCCTGTCTGATAATGGTCAGATGAGACAGGGAGCCCTGGTCATTAGTACAGCTAAGGCATCCCAAAGCCGCAATCCCATAATCCTCCGGCAATGCCCCTTCCTACTCAGTCCTCTTGCCCTCCCGATGGTGATGACGCCCAGTTCACTGGCGATAAACACGGCTTCAAGACCCGCAGTCACTCAACAAATTAAAGGAGGACAGTTAACCCCCCCCCACCACACATACATACACACACACACACATACACACACACATATACACACACACACACACACACACACATATACACACACACAC